ATACTTAATTTTTATTAAGTATATAAGAAATCCTTTGGAGTGCATATATTCGGACCGATACCGGTCTGTATATATATATACGGACCGGGATCGGTCCGTATATGCCCTTAACAACAGCTTTTTATTTTTTTTGTTGTTTCATGCTTAACTCATTTTACTCTCGTTTTAAACTGTAACATTCCAAATGTTTGCAAGCCGAAGTGGTTAACTTAAATAAAAAAAATTAATTTTATTTGCTTGTGGCTCCGAAAGAGCATTATGTAACATTATCTCTAATAACCTTTAATTTATACGTTCGTGGTTTTGCAACAATATTACTCCGTACCATCATAAGATAATTTCAGGTAGACAATCGATGGTTTTGTGGTTCCAAGGGACTGTAGGGTTAATGTACATGCAATTGGTTTTCGCAGGAATGGATTTAGGACACGAGAAGATGGTAATGTCCTTAAATGAAAAGAATAAAAATGTGAATTGGGAGAAGTTTTTGGATTTTTTCGAGTATATTCGGACCAAAATCGGTCTGAAAAATGAAAACATGGAAGCTTCTGGATTCTTTGCATGTATTCAGACCAAAACCGATCCGTATATATATATATATTCATACTTAATTTAATTTAGCTTTAGGATAAAAAAATCCCTCGAGTGCCTATATTCGGACTGATACCGGTCTGTATATATATATAAGGACCGAGATCAGTCCGTATATATATATACGAACCGGGATCGGTCCGTAGATGCCCTTAACAACAGCTTTTTATTTTTTTTTTTTTGTTATTTCATGCTTAACTCGTTCTACTCTCGTTTTAAACCGTAACATTCCGAATGTTTGCAAGCTAAAGTGGTTAACTTAAATAAAAAAAATGAATTTTATTTGCTTGTGGCTCCGAAAGAGCATTCATAACATTATCTCTAATAACCTTTAACTTATACGTTCGTGGTTTTGCAACGATATTACTCCGTACCATCGTAAGATAATTTCAGGTAGACAATCGATGGTTTTGTGGTTCCAAGGGACTGTAGGGTTGATGTACATGCAATTGGTTTTCGCAGGAATGGATTTAGGACACGAGAAGATGGTAATGTCCTTAAATGAAAAGAATAAAAATGTGAACTGGGAGAAGTTTCTGGATTTTTTCAAGTATATTCGGACCAAAATCGGTCTGAAAAATGAAAACATGGAAGCTTCTGGATTCTTTGCATATATTTAGACCAAAATTGGTCCGTATATATATTCATACTTAATTTAATTTAGCTTTAGAATAAAAAATCCCTCGGATTGCCCATATTCGGACCGACACCGGTCCGTATATATGGATTGAGGACACGAGGAGATTGTGATGTCCTTAAATGAAAAGAATGAAAATGTGCAATGTGAATTTTTTCCCAATATATTCGGACCAAAATCGGTCCGAATATATTATTAATGCGCCAAAAATTTCCCGAAAAGATTGAAAGTTTTTGATGTGTCGGAAATTTTTTCCCAATATATTCGGACCAAAATCGGTCTGAATATAAGCCTTATCCCTTGTTTTCTAAATACATATACGGATCGAAATCGGTCTGTAATTAATTTATGCGCCAATTTTTTATCGTAAATTTGAATTTTTTGATTCTGCGCTAATTCATTTATATTCAAACCGATTTCGGTCTGAATATTATTAATGCGCCAAAAATTTTCCCGAAAAAATTCAAAGTTTTAGGTGCGGCGCGCCAAAAAGGATTATACGGACCGAAAACGGTCCGTATAAGCCTTACATATATCACCACTTCTCTTCCTTTTCCTCATTTTCTCTTCTTCCTCTCTTTCTTTTCCTTTCTTCCTCTCTTTCTTTTCTGTTCTACCTTCCGTCTCCTTCTTCTTTTTCTTACTTTTTTTTTT